CACACACACACACACACACACACAGCTGGCCACCACACTGTAACGGAACTGACTTGTGGACGAGATGTGAAGGAGTGACTTGGGAAGCACTCCTCCTTTTCGTCCGCAGATAAACAAAAGTCTTTTATCTAAAATGACACAGTGTTAAATTAAGCCAGTCTGTGTGGGGGCAGCACAGTAGCTACACAAGCAGGACTGCTTCAATGCACGGGTTTACCTGGGCTGAAAGCCCAGGGGCCTCGGCTAAAAAGGGGCCTCGGCTGACCTTGTTTAATACATCTTTAAACCAAGAGTTGCCCCCCCCATCCCATAGGCTATTTTATGAGATTGTCCCATATTGTGTAAAAAAAAAAAAGGAAAAAAAGCTGTCCCATTTTGAATCAATGCAGTACAAGGTGCAACTTCTCCAGCATTTTCACATCCAGACTTAAATACAATATAATCTGGACTTCATAACAGATTTTTATCGATGACCCCCCCATTCAATAATCGAGGACCCTCTGATAACCTCTGTATGCTGATGCAGCTCCGTGCACAAGCAGAACACAGAAAGCCATACTGGGCCACACCATTGCATCACCTGCTAACCCCTGACTGATAGGCGACTCCTGTGTCAGTCTCCTGATCGGTTCTTTGGGGCTTGCTTCGTCAGACAAGCATCTCAGAACAGCACAAACTAACCCACAGTGTATGCAAATTCATGCACATTTAGACGCTCACGTAATAAACAAACAAACACATAAAACAACATTGCAAAAATGCTTTCACCTCCATCTCTGAGCTTATCTATTATTTCGCATTTGTGTTTGTTTAAATTAAAAACTTTACATTTGTATTTAGATTACTTTTGCACATTTAGGTGTATAAGATAAAATATTTTCTGTTTTCTCTTGAAATTGAATGTAAAAACAGCTTAAAATGCAAATAGGTCAAATACAGAGTATTATTATTCTCCTGCTTGAAACGAGTTTGTGCCCTATTTATGACAAAAGAATTAAACAGTCTATGGAGTAAAGGACCAAACCAATTCCGGTTCCTCCAATATTTTCCTTATTTATTACCTAGCCCCACTGGCTGTTTATATTGAGCAACTATTGACAGACTGCCGTCATTTCATTTTTTATTGGAATTTTTCTCTCCCCTCTACCATCTTTGGTCACCTACATGAAAAACTTAAGCAACGGGGTATTTAAAGCAAGCGGTTAGAAGAATAGGCTACAACCGGCACGATTTATCATTACATCAATTTTGTTATGGCAACCCCCCCCCCTTATTATTCTTACTTGGGAATTTAAATGTTCTTATTATAATACTAGCAGGGGCCTCGTCAGGCCTGTTTTTAGCCTCTCCGAATAAATGTATATTTATCATGAATATAGTTTGTTGTCTGATATAACAAACCCACCCGGCTCAGCGAGTATTAGTTTCAGGGTTGGGTGGACTAGGTATCGCGATCGGTATCGGCGATACCAGCTTTGGGTAAAATCCGACAAGAAAATAAGTCGTAACGCCCATTCCTACTCCTGACAGATGAAACCACGCCAAATAAGCTCCAAAGCTGAAGAAAGTATAAATGGAGAAAATCGTAAATGGAAAACCTGGCTTTCTAAATGACATGCATGCTTATTGTAGAAAGAACAGAATTTACAAGTATTTGCGTTTAAATTAATTCATCAAAGGCGGGTAGGGTACAGCTTTCAAAACCTTATTTATCAATCCAACTATGAAGGTATGGTTTGGTGCCATAAGGTTCGTTACATACACACCAAACAAGTATATTGTACAAGACACTGTATTGAGCAAGATACACTGGAGACATAATAGTAATAAATTGCATTAGTTTTTTATGGATAAAGATTTCCCCATGTTGGTCTGAATGGCTGGATTCATAATCCAGCCTTTCGTAATATAAGATACGTTTGAAGACACAAACGGAATACTGACACAATAAACGATCTACCGCAAAAGAAAAAGAAGAAACCAGCTCCAAGATTGAGAATTACAGAAACAGCTAATGAGATTTCCGCTGGTGTGAATTTCTTCTGTGGGAATTGTACCATGGGGTGATATGCGGACACTTCATTAGTGTGTAGGCTGTCTGATGTATAGGGAGCATCCCTGTGTTAGTGCGCTTTCTGTCTATCCGGGGAGAATCACGCTTCCAAAAAAGGTTTCAAAGCTTGCAACAAGTCATCATGCCCACAAATTGAAAAAAAAGACAATGCAATAAGGCTGGTGCGAAGATATGTCACAACTTCCCTCTAATAAATTAATACAGTTCTCGTGCATGGTAAGCCCTTTCTGGTTGTGCATGCATCACAAGACTGACCGTGAGCAGGGTCCGGCGGCGGGTCGCTTACCATCACCTGGCATGTCCCACATCGCAGATCGGGCAGCTCTTATTCTCCGACAACCCCACAGTAAGCCCTGCTTTCTCTCGAACCTTCGGGGCTCGCTTTGCACTTAGGGAAATAGGCACGTTGAGGTAGGGTAAGGAAGGCGAGGGGGTGGGGCACAAGAAAGAAGAGGAGGACTGAGATGCGATCGTGAGAAAGGATGTTGTGCGAAAAGTTTATTCTCTTATCACGTCGTCTACAAAAGAAATCTGGCTGATCAAATTGAACTAATGAGAAATGTTCCGTCAGTTGAGAATCACTTGAAATTGACTTAAACACTGCGAGTGGTGCGCAAGTGATTGATCGATTAGATATTTTATTTGCATTTCCCCCCGGGAGAAAAAAGATACCGAGGAGAACAAATAAACGGCGAAATGGCGAAATAAACGGTTGTTAAAGTAGTTCTAATTGTTAAAAATAAATGAATAAAAATAAAGAATAAATGTTAGACACCAACGTAACCTGTTTAGAAAGCTAGATGTTTCCCAGGGAAAATCTAATGAAAGTACTTCACCCAAATGGTACAAGAACCTCTCCCCACTTTAAATGTTAATTGACTTCCTTCTAGATGCCAGTGTGTCTTTAACCACTGCACCACCTGCTGCACTGCACCTCTCCCACCTGCAGTAGTAACCAAAGCCTCCCGCCCCTCCCCATGGATGTAGTCGAGCAGTCATACATACCTGTATTCATGAGGATAAGGACACAGAAGCACAGTGGACAAGCGCGGAGTGATGGAAACCAGTCAGCTGTGTCCAACTGTGTCCTAATTCGGGCTGCGAATGTGTTGCTCTTTCATACTGCAAGCCCGCCCCCCAAATGCTCCCGGAGAGGGGTGGTGCAAGTGGTGTGGAAATGTGGGTTATTCTCCTTTGGATTCAGAAGCAGCTGTGCACTTCGCCCAGTTTCTTCGGCGATGCTGGGATGGCGCCAGTTGGTCTGGTATTTGAATTTATTCGAACAATGTCTGCAAGTATGACAGCACACAATAACGACAGCCTCGCCAGTGCACCGCTTAAACAGATGATGAGCATATGACAGTTACGAAACTGTATTGCGAGTTACTTTGCACAGCTGTGCGCACCTAGTATCTTCATAAAGACGGCATGCTAAATCAGTAGCAGGTTCCTTTATTTACATTGATATTTATTGATCAGATAACCTGTCCCTTTGCTGTCCGTGTTGGCGCTAACCAGAAACAACATTAGCAGAGATGTTTTTCCGTTGAACTGCAAAAGGAGAGGAATTAAGTTTTAAAAGACATGGCTGTAGTTGCTTTAAAGTAGATCAGAAGAGAACTTCCTCCTTTTCTCTGTAAAGAAGAAGAATCTTTATAGTCTTCATAACGTCCACAAAGTTGCTCAGAATAACTGAGGCAGAGTGGAGCAGGAACCCAGCCACTGAGACGGGGAACTGCACGTTATGTTTCTGCAGGAACAGGAACCACACTGGAAAGCAGCTCGCTTTCAGGACCGCAACTGCTCCTGTAGCTGCAGCCCTGCCTAAGGGCCGTGTTCAGCGCGTGAGAGATTACCCCTGCAGACCTGACCCTGACATGAACACAAGATTTATATAGAAATTGTGAAAGATTAGATAAGGGCATCAAAAAGCCACAAAAAGAGTTTGAATTTCACAGTGGCTTTGGGGGAGCTCCACGACTTCCCAAGTCAAATGCAAGTGCCCTGCAAGCATGGTCAAGGGTTACAGCGAAAACCATTCTACTATTACCACTGCAGGCAGTTAAAACCGTCAGTAACATTTAATATAGGCACAATTACAACAACATAAGAATCAGATAATAAGTTTAATAGCAAAGAAACACAGAATATTTACATATTTATACTATTTTTTTATTTCAGGGATGGAAAATAACATATAACCTAAAGCATAAAAGTTGACACTTTTTTAGAGCTCCCCCTAAAGGTCTCAGGGGAGAATTACAGGGGAGCTGGTGTCCTTGTCAGGGGAGCTGAGCTCGCCTTAGCACCCCCCAAAATTCGAACCATGCACGTACCAGCCAAATGTTACGTTACACAATTCCACCATGCTTACAGCTCACCATAGACAATAAACCAAATTCAACCGCTGATAGCGATCAAACCCCGCACTGAGTGGAAAGGTGTGGGATGTGTACACAGAGGATCAGTGACATCACACTGACCACACTAACGGCCAATTAAAACCACATTTCCATCTAGCTATGGCTCTTTGGAAGCTGCAATGAAAAGTAACACAGTTGACCTATGGGTGACACTTTGTTACATCACATGGTGCAATGATATTTTCCTGCTCTTACCAAAAGTGAGATTTCAGCCAACACCGTCATAAAAAGCCCAGCAATATGAATCAGAGACTAAATATCCACAGTAAGAGGCAGCTGGAGGGTGGATGATTGGGTCGCACTCCTTCTGTCTGTCACCAGTGCCCCTGTAATGACCTCATAAGGACAACAGAAAGGAGAGTAGATGTGATTAAGGGAGGCCAGCGTCTCTTCAGCCGGGCACAACTTAATAAGCCGAGATGTGCCTCGGGGCCCGGCGTACAGCCCACTTCCAGGCCAAGATCCTTGGGGAAACCATGAGGAAGCAGCCAAGATCTCAGAAGCTTCTAATGGGGCAGCAATGTTTGATTGACTTTGGTTATGTAGATGTGACTGTAGGGACCCTCAAAGAAGACAACAATGGTAATCAGGAAGTTACGTGACAGGGGACAAGCTAACTCCAAGTCACGTCCTTGAAGTTCAGCATAAGAGGGAAGAGGTTAGTGTGTGGTGCTGGACGGAAGTTGGGGTAGTTTTGGTATGTGGAAGAAGTAAAATGTCTGTAAGCAGAACACATGCAGCAGGAAGAAAAAGATTCTCCCCGGTCCAATTACATTACAAGAAAGGCCACCTGCCTTATGTTCATGGCGCCAGCAAATGCCAACTGCTCCCCACACTCATTGCACGCTCTTTACCCATCAGCGTGCCAGGGCCGGTCGACATTCTTAGCGCCTGGTGTGCATTCCTGTCGTGCAATCTGACAGATTCGCCACGCGAAGGCCCAACCTTCCAGAAGCATACACAGGGGTGAGGCTACAGGGGCACTGGCCCCAGCTGAAAGCTGATTGGCCCCAGAGTGCCCCTTCCCCTGTCACTCACCAATTTCAAAACATATCATTGGCTAATGATAAGATTGGCCCCTGTGTATAAATTACAGCCTCTTTTATGTCTGCCACTATAAAACGTCCTGGTATTACCCAAGCAACCTTTTGCTCTGACAGGAGTTAAGGGTGAAGTGGTTTTCCTGCTTATTTATTAAATTTCTCTGTTGCCCTACCCATCCGTAAATGTCATTTTCCTGCTTTGTGCAGGAGTCTCCGGAGCAAGAAAGCTACGGCAATCCGACCTCCTTCTTAGTACAAATTGACCCAACTGAGTCATTTCTCTAACCCAGTTTCCAAACATAGCCCCCCCTCCACAGAGGCCTAGCCTTTGGTTGGTCTTGCTTGAGTACAGAAGCCACTCTCTGCCTCAACTGACATTTTGTATTCCCTAGGTAGCTCCTTTCCAGACCTAAAGTCCAGGGACCTACATAGGGGTGGGGCCACAGTGGCACAAGCGCCAGGTGGAAGATGATTGGCCAACAGGGTACCTCCTCCCCTGTCACTCACCGATTCAAATCATATCATTGGCTAATGATAAAGTCGCCCTGTCTGTTTGAATTTTGGCCTCTCTTGTGTACCCCCACCTTCAGAAATCCTAAAACAATTTTTGTACGGATGTGTGTGCAGCCAGAAAAAGAGCATTGGTACTCAATAATCTACAGCATTTTAATTTGTTTATACATTTGTTTTTAAATGATAAAGTCTTGCCCCCCCCAAATCAAACTCTCTCCTATACTGATGCCCCCAGGGGGAGCAAGAAACACAATCTTCTGCATGCGTATTTTAATGCATCGTGAACCTAATTTCCTTTGTTGTCCTCATTCAAAAAAAAGGAGGCTATGTAATATAGACAATCAGATCAATTCATTATAATCAGAGTAGTCATTCATTTATTTAACCCATTTTCAATCAGAAAATTGGGTCATCTAGGGATAACCTGCGGGGAAACAGTGGCACAGGACCAAACAACCCAAATATTTGGGCTGCGGTTAGATTTTGATACTGATGTACTCAATGTTAGGGATAATTGCCCTTTTCTTAGGTGACCCTGATTTAAGAGACATAATCTATATCCTGTTCTGATTTACTGACCTGCACTATATTCTGTGGGTGAGTAAGCACAGCAAATTGTATACTGCAGAAAGTTCTCTTTAGCTGATAGGAATATTTACAGATATGCACCTATCTACTCCCATAGAACAATGTCTGGCAAACGCAATTACAGACAAAATGTGTTAAGAAAAGCAATTTCAGTCTCACTGGCAGTATATTGACACCTAGTGGTATCACGGCGTACACGGAAAATTAATTAATCCCGTCGACACACTCGATGTTAAGTGGAATGGGATTTACTGTAATACAATTCAAATACAAGGCATAATACAACATCTCCCAGCAATGGTAATGGAATTAACAAAAGTAATGTCTAATGTAGTGGCACATAACAATAGCATAAATACAACTGTGTCACTAGACTGTCAATAAATAAATTCATCTTCATTCATTTTATTCTTCCTCATTTGATGTTTCTGCCTGAGATATGTCAACTTAGCAGGTATTTTGTGCTAGAACTTCAATATTTCACAGCTACTTCACCAGCAGTGACCAAATACAAGCTGAAGTTAGTAAACACAAATTGGCACCTTTAAACTCATGAAATCAAATGAATTCAATAGCCTACATCAATGGTAGGCAATCTTATCCTCCAAGGGTCACTCTTAGTCTGTATGCAGGTTAACTGGTTGTGTGGTGATGGCATAATCAAATCCTAGGTTGTCCTTTAACTAAATGCTCTGGTTAACTATTTCATCCTATGAAATAGAGCAGTATATAATGTCCCTTGTATAGAAGAATGTCTTGAATTTTCTCTGCTGTTATGACGGCAATAGGAGGTTACTTTGATGAATCAAGGATATGACATTTTCTTGCTAAAAAAGGTATTCAAATAGTGAACATACAGTAAATTTATTTATTTGCAAAGAAAACTGTGTGTATTTTTAGTAAATGTTAAGTAACATGCAAATGTAGAAAATCATGCAAAAACGTTTGACTGGTATCGTAAACCTTTAGCCTAAATGTCTGCAAAAATTAGTTTTCCCCTTGTAGCTGGGGGCCATTTTTCCATGTGCATCTTTTGACTTCCCTGATCCTGTCGGTCATCTTGCGGTCACCTCACACAAGACAGCTGTGCAAACTTCCCTTCGCTTTGCTCCTCATGGCTTCAGAGGGAATTGTCCATCTCAGAGCCAGACGTCTACTGGTGACAGGACAAACATGGAGACACACACACCTCCGCTGGATAACAGAGAAGGAGTCTGTTCCACGTGTAGTAGCATGGATGTAAATTAATTAAAGCAGGTCAATACAACCTCCTAGACTTGCCTAAATGGGTGGAGACCTCGATCCACATAATGATCAACCCTTAAGTTACGCCCTCGGGTAGCAGATACACGGTCCCTTTATTTCCCTGCCTCCTCCTCTTACTTTCAGACAGCAGTGGGGGCAGAGTGGGCTAGCCGTATGTTAGCTTTCGGTGGTTTGTGCAAACTTTCTCGCTGCGAAAATGTGTGGCATTTCCCTGAGATTTATATTTCCAGCATTTGCTTTGATAATTAAAACAGGAATGTTTCGATGCTTTGAGGCCATAGCAAACGGAAATCCTACCCAGGAAGTGACACAAGTATGCAGTAATTCTTTAAGTCACGTGTTTCACTTTCTCAATAAGTCTATGTGTATTACTAAAACCTGAAATTCTTATATACTGGTTTCATATAGAACAGAACAATATAAACAATACTGTCCTGTCACAAGCAGAGTTATATATTTATATTATTTTGTAAAACGGCCTATTAGTTTAAAATAGAGGTGATTTTGCATTCCGTTCTTTTAAATATGTAAATCTAAATTATGAACGTAGTTAAAATTAGTTAAGTGACTCGCAGCCAAATCGCTTACGATATATTTCGGAAAAAGGAATGCAATTGCAATATGGCTGTTTGATTTTACCGCATACTTTCTATTTAAAAAGCCCCAGTCGTTAGGCTACATATTGAGATACGTTGTGTTTTGTCGATGTAAGAAACAGATGTAGAAAATGCGAAATTAATTTTGGAGATGTGAGAAAATGTACACGTGAAACTTAAAATAGGTACTATAAATGGTTGACCCACTTTCAATTAATTCAGTACTGAATTCGAATCAACACGTCGGATGCATTATGGAGAGCTTTCTAAAGACGTGATGAATTGTAAAAAAAAAAACAGCTGGCTGGTTTGCCTTTCAGGTTAAATCGTATTGTGCACAACTCAGCTTTCAATATGCAGACAGACTAGTCCTTTATTTTGCAGCTGTATTGTTTATAACAGGAAAATGCAGTTTTGAAGACGTAACATTGTTTTCGAGCAAGGCAACAAATACTGAAACGCGGAAATAGGGCAGCTTCGAGAGAATGTTAATAGAAGATTTAAAGTTACTGAGTACAACAGGATATGCGTGTTTAGCCTAACCATTTTGTTTCTAAAAGTTTAATTATTAACATGTGTTCTTCATAAGAGGCTAATATAATTATGATGGTTAACTTTATTTCAAATGAACCTATTTTCAAAATCAAACAACAAATAATGTCATAACAGGCAGTTTTAACACACTGGATAAGCCTGTACAGGCTTTGAACGTATAATGGGATTGTAAATATATCACTTAAAATATATCATAATATATAAACATATAATATCAAAACAGGAAATACCATTTTAAAAGCTCAACTCCTCAACTGAAAATAAACATAACTCGTGGGCGGGCCCTTTTTTTTCCATTACATAATCCTGACGTTGAAACCAGCATACAGCCTCCGTCTCTGATTGGTGTACAGCCTCGGAACTGTATCCTGATTGGTTGGACTCCTAGCCCAGCGACCTACATTGTCCGGCCGGGACGCCATTTTATTTCAAATTAGACGGCAAAAGCAAAGGCGACGAAGGTGTAGGTAGTGGCTTTTTCTTGTCTTTCTGCGTGATCGCCACAGTTTTAAGGTAACGCTAAGACGCGTTGTTTCTACGGCACATCTACAGACGCGTCCGTCCTGAGGGAGATCGCGGCGTCTGAGGCGCACTTTGGTAGTGGGAGTCGGTGAGTGTTCCTTTTGTCTTCCCGGTCGGGCGCCATGTTGAGCTGTGACTTCTTTGTTTTGGTGTCTGGCCAGAAAAAAGTTATTTGTATATCTCAGAACTAACGCACATAAAATAAAAGGGTAGGGCGACGGACAGGCGCTGTTTCCCCTAGAATTGCTTTCTTTATAAAGCACAGCAATGTAGGCTTCAGCATTACGTCGTGTCTGATAAAAGTCCAATATCACTGAACCAGGGCGTCAATCCCTGGTTACGTGGTTGAAGGAAGTTAGCGGAGTTTTTACTGAAATCGTCCATAATAAGGGATTGCAAGTGAAGTGTCCTCATTCAGGACCATATTTCGCATGCTTTTCTGGATATGTAACAGAGGGCGTTTTGTTTCCGTTTCCGAAGATCTGGGCCTTTGTGGAGCGCCGTGCTCCGGGGTTGAGTTGATGTTCGACTCTGCTCTGCGGCCCATGAAAGCCTCAGATTCGCATGAAGTGAAGTGGACGGAGGGAAGAAGACTAACGCTAGCTCCAACGACCTGGAGCCCCACCAGCGAGGGGAAACTGAGAGAGAGGGAGGCTGAGACACTCAGCTGTTTGACGACAAAGAGGTGAGGTGGTGTTGGGGATCGTGTGTTTCACAGGAATATGAAATAAAACTGAATAGAAATAAAAGAACCCCCCCCCCCTTTGTGCAGGTGACACTTGTGAGAGCAGAATGGGAGGAGGAGAGCGGTACAACATTCCAATTGCCCACCCAGAGCACAATGTGCCCAAGAAGAACCAACAAGGAGGGGGCAAAAACCGGGGAAGGAGCCACAACAGCTCAGCCCCGTTGCGTGCTGCTGCAGGACCAGCAGGGGGCCAGTCACACAGCCCCCGCAGGGCAAACCTGGGTCTCGGTCCCTCCTGGTCTCCCGAGATGCGGCAGGCTGTGTCTATGGAGAAGCCTGCAGGTTTTGGCCAGGCTTGGGACCGCTCTGTGTCCCAGCTGAATGTGCTGCTGGCACCCCAGAGTAGCCATAACTATGCAGGGGCCAAATTCAGCGAGCCTCCGTCCCCGAGTGTGTTGCCTAAGCCTCCCAGCCACTGGGTGGCGCTCTCCATGGCTCCCTGTGACCACCGTGAAGTGATGGCCTTTCAGCTGAAGAGTCTCCTTAAGGTCCAGGCCTGAGTAGACTCTGTGGATCAGGGTGCCCTTTCATTGGCTAGCCTGTCAGGAACGACACGGTGCTGTAATATGCATTTCAGCATGGTTTTAAGAACTTTTTACACTGTCTCCCAGAGGAAGGACTGGCCGTTTGGTACTTATCCCTGCGCGCCTTTTGTTTTGGAAGTTTATTTATAATACATTTTAGCAGTTATATTACAGCAGCGTGCCCTTGCTGATAGGCAGATGTCTGAGGGGGGGCTTGTCTCTAAGAATGACAAACTTTCAGCACTGATGCCATCTATCCGACGGTCTGTTGGTGCTCTTTCGTCCCAGTTGGGGTGGGGGGTGGGTGGGGTTGGGTCCTCAGAATTCGGCACACCCTGTTTTAGCCAAACGGCTTAGTGATAATCGAAAGTAAGGCATTTTATGAAATGGATGCGGCTGCAGGACCCATTGTTTCTAGTTTGGACAGGGCTCACGACCTGTGGGACTTGAACTGCTGCCGTTTTAACAATACATCTTGGGTAGGTGGTGCTCAAACCACAGGCTCTCGTGCACCCTCTCTTTACCGCGCTGTGCGCGTTGCACTATGAGGGTTGTCTGTTCGAAGTCCCTTTGTTACTGGACATTTGCACCAAAGCGTTTGTTAGTTTCTCTTTCAAAGTGCCATGTGAAACGTTACGCAGCACTCCGGGAGGGATATAAAGTCCCAGACAAGTAGTTTGTTTAAAGCAATCAAATGTGTCACCATTCTGCCCCCTGCACTACACTAGTGGCAGGTATTGCGGAAGGGGGCCGGTCTCATGGGAACGAGGTGGGCATTGTTTCTCGTTTGAGGTTTGTTCCTGTGGTTTGGCCCCACCTGCTGCGCTTTGGGGGGTGGGGGGCAGACCGTGACTCTTAGGCCTTCCAGTACTCGCCCGGTTCACTGCCTCAGACCCCACAATGCTTCTGTTGTGCTGGCTGGTTTGCCTTTCAGACTGTTTGCTTTCTCATTTTGGTTTTTGAGCCCTGTACAGCAGACTTTGGACTGTGGTGTTTTTATTAGTCTTTTCTTGTCTTTGTATAACTTCAAAGCGATTATGGCCATTTAAGACAAGCGTGTTTAAGAGCCGTGTAAATAATGAAATGTAGAGGTTGTAACATATGTACATTTGTGCAGTGGTGTCTTCACCTGCTTGGACAAAGTATTTTTTACTAAGAAACAGTGAATGTAAAAGTCATGCTGAGCACATGGCTTCATTTGAGATGCTGAAGACTATTTTTGTTAAAAAAAAGAAAAAAAATTAAATTTTAAAATTAAAAATTTAAAGTGTAAACCCAAGATGCACACTGCATCTCTGGCACTGGGTGGCGGTACCAGATATATTGCACATTTTAATTGTTTTGAACAGTGTGATTGGTAATTGCATTGTTTATAAAGAGGGTTTTTTTACATGTTTCTAGAATCACCATGTAGTTTTCTGTGCAATAGTTAACTCTGCGTCATTTCCATTGGTAAGGAGCCTCTGACACCATCAATTATGAGCTGAACTTCCGCCAGGTCATAATTTGTAACATTTTTATCTGTCATAATCTGTGACATTTTTTATTCTGTAACTGCCGTTTTACACTGTGTAGTTCAATTCTGATTTATTGGTTTATGCTTTTAATAGGAACCTTTTGATTGGGTCTTTTGTTGGGTGTTGTTCAGACGAGTACCAATGCATGTAAGAATTCCCTCTTTCTAAATTCGCCACCTTTGCTGTTCTGACCCAATTGGCTGTTAATTTGTCTCCCCTCTGTCTCTCACAAGTTTAATGTTTTTAAGCCCTAAAGGAAATACGAGAATTGACATTCAAAAAAGATGAAGCGCACTCTATTAAATTGGCTAAACCAAATGAATAAATTCCCTCCCCTTTCCCCCCAAAGTCTCTTGTTTTGTCGTCTTTTTTTGTCCCCTCTCATATCACTCTGTTCTGTGATGTTATCCCCTGTACACAGCAAGGTGAGTGCTGGTCTGTGTTTCAGTCTGCACACATGCAAGGAACTGAGCGTGGAATAGTATTTTGGTGACTTACATGGTGAGCCTTGCTCAGGGTCCAGTGATGAAATTTCTCTGGTAACCATATAATGTGAACAGCCAGATATTGCATCGGAGCACCCCACCCTACTGAGCCACACACTGATGGGATGTTTTATAAAGGGGTATATCTCTGAATACAAGTGGAATTTGTCCTTCCGCAGTGGTTGTTTTGCTTCCTGTATGTGTAGCGAACATTTTCCTCATATGTAGAGTGCCACAGGTCCAGGGCCATGAACAAGTATGTCCCATGAACTAACTTTTGCTTCTCATAACTTTATTTTCTGATCTTTACACTGATACAGAAGACAACCTGAGTGTAAACACTAGAGTTTTAAAATGATCATTTGATTTATTGAAGGAAAGTTCAAGGAAAATACTAGTAGAGGATATCACGGCACTGGCTCATCGTGTAATATCCCTGTCGCAAACTGAGACTGTCATCACTAGCAATAATGCACCGTCACTGTTAACACTGCAGGCCTGGTCGTTTCCCATGAGGTGTCAGTCGAGTCTTAGTGCTGCCTTAGGTTGATGCTTGGTGGGTGCGGCAGGGTTTCATTTTCATGCCTGGGCGATCGCCTCCGGCGTAGGATCACGTGCAGGCACATTCTGCACTGTTAAGTCCTGCTAAGCATCCTTGCTGCCTTCAGACCGATTGGGGTCAGACCAAACCCCCCCCTCGGTCCATTTCGGCCATCCATCACAGAACATGCTGATGCCCTATGAATCACCGAACAGCAGTATGTGGTCTTTAAGCACAGCCATCCATGCACATCTAACATTGCAGAGTGCAGCTCATTCCGTGCCTACCAGCCTGATACAGGTCACCCCTCCCTGGGGAATCGGCCTCTGGCCTATTTTACAGTTACACCCCCTTGCAGTCCTGCCCCGTCGGCTTACATTCTTAAGCTGCCGTGACCACATTGCATGGATAACAGACTCCTGCAAATTGAGTTTTTCCCCAAAGGAACTTTACTAAAAGAAATCACATGGCCATCATAGTAACGAAGTATACATGTTTTTCACTGCTCACCACAACTGCATGTAATCAAATGTGTAAATACACACTTTAAATGCACAGATGGACAAAACCAAGACATTACACTATTAACTAAAAGGGTTAAACTGAACCATCGAATATTTTTTTTCCACAAAAGTAAAAGGGAGGAATAAAAAGCGCTGGGGAGGGAACTAGTGGAAGTTTATCATGTAACAAAACCAGGTAAAACAAACGTTATTATATATTTATTTGTATACTGTAGATGTGGAAGACTTGAGGTCTGAAATGACGGTAATGGAAGCAGAGAACCGTAACAACATTCAAAGAAAAAGGAACGACTGCATTAAAAAAAATTCTAAAAGCTTTAAACTGTCAAGTTCAGATTTTAGTCAAAAAGAAAAAAAGACTAGTTGGTAAACAGGGCACCAAGTCAACAAGTGAGGAGTTCCATCCATGAGAAGCCACCAACAGAACAGCCTCGGGACGCACCGCGGTAAATATGGGAACGAGACAGGCGAAGCGGAGCGCCAAGAGACCAGGCAAGCGCTCGGGTGCGGGCCGGACCTCGCCGCAAGTCCGGCTCAGAGGCGCTACTCCGCATCGAACCACCGAAACACTGAGGGCGGGGCTGTGCGGGGCTGCTAGCGCCCCCCAGACTTACGGCCTGCCCAGGATCTGGAACGGGACCGGGATCGTGAGAGGGAGCGAGAACGCGAGCGGGATGGCGAATGGGGGCCAGGCTCCTTCTGTGACTCGCGGGACCGGGAGGCCAGACCAAACTCCTCAGGGGCGGGGCTGAGGGACTTGGAGCGGGATTTGGTTTGGGACTTGGCCACGGGCTCCTTCTTGGGCTTGGAGCTGGAGTGAGATGGGGAGCGGGACTTGGAGCGGCTGTGGGAAGGGGGTCCCTGGGGGCGCTGGTGCTCACGCTGGGGGGCCCTGTACCTGCAGAGACATGCTGGATGTCAGGTGGGGGTGGGTGCCAGAGGGCAGCATGACCCTACAGGTCAGTCACCCCAGGGGCGTCACAGCACTGGTTGAGAGGCAGCAACACCTGACCACAGCACTCAAACCATTCACACGTGATGACAGTAGGGGGCGACAGCACCCCATGGCCAAAAGGTTGGGGCCTACCGGTCATTTTCACGGCTCCTGCTGCGTCTGTGTTTCCCATATGATCGCCCGTAGGAGCTGTGGGAAGCCGAAACCAGGTCTCAGTGAGAGGGGCACCACAGTTATATAGAAGTCTCAGCCAATGGAAATCCTAGCCTGTTGCTAAGGGCCTTTCCTGAGTCAACACCAGAGAGCCCCATAATGAACCACTCAGGTAATTTAAAAAATAAACAAGCTCCTTCCCATTTTTGCCTTTCTGGGGGTCTCTCTCTCTCTCACTCACTCTCACTCACACACAGAAATGCAAAGTAGCGAGGCATACTCTCTGGGGCTGTCGGACCTCCGCGGCCGCCGCTCATAGGACGGGCTGCGAGAGCGGCGCCTATCGTAACTGCGGCTCCGGGAACGCCTCCGCCGACCATCACGCTCATAGTCGTCATACCGGGAGAAACTCCGCCTCTCCTTAGACTTCATCTGATTGGGTGCTGCACAGAGAGAGAGGGGCCAATCAAAAAAGAGCAGGACAGCCAATTACAAAAGAGAGGGGGCAGGACGACCGGAATCTCAAAGCTTACAACACGGCAGGTAGGTGATTCAAAAGTGCACAAAAAAAATGTCTCACAGAGAGGAAAACATTTAAAAAACGCATGACTTACTTTTGCGGTCTCCCTGCGCAAACTGAATTTCGATCTGCCGTCCACAGACCCACTTTCTGTCCAGGTTGTGAAGTGCATCCTCCGCATCCCGCACGTCCTCGAACGTGCTGCGCTGTTAAGGCTCGTCACATGCAACGGACTGGGAGAGGGTGGGGGTGGATAGGAGGGAAACGGGACGGGCCGCACCCTTGCATACTCAGACAGTACCGTGGAGCCATTCGACAGCCCCCAGACTACAAATCACCACAGCAGTCAGGACATAAACGGTCACTTAGTCTCGCGGTGATACATGTGGCGCTACAGACTGACACGCGCTGGGTCTCTCCCGCTTCGTCCCGAGTTTGTGCCAATACTGATGCGTCAAAAACTATATACAGAAAGTTCAGAATTTATCAATCAAATTAATCCAGGTTTGTAAATAAGAGATCGGGGACTAGATTTTGGGGAAGGGGGAAAGTAAGGTAAAAAATGTTCACCTTTTCGTAGGATACAAAAATTAGGTTTGTTACCTTTAACATGCTTGTCTTTCACCTTGAGCTTGATCTTTATGCTCTTTAACCACTTCCCGGAAGACCTTGAGTTTCCTGCTTGTCTTTGCCCCATAATCTTTCTCTTTCGCCTCCCTCTTTTGCAGACAAGTGGAAGCCTTCATTCCCACCTTGGTCCCTTTTTCCTCTGCGCCTCTTCAAGCTTTAATTCTTTATTTTTCTTTACCTTTCCCTCTCTGCTTCTTGCAGCCTGAAATCCTTACGGGCTCTTTGGCTTGACTTAATTCTTGGAATCTACGCTACACCGGCCTTTATGCTCTCACTCTGGGGGGAGCAGCTCCAGTACAGTACACCTTTAAATATTCTGGGGCAACAACAGAAGAAATTTAAGTTAGCAGACAAAAATTCGGATGCCTTTAAATATTGTATCCCCGTCCCAGAAGTTCCACTTGTCTTTCACATGACTGAGGCCCAATTCAGCATTCCCGCCCCCCACCCACATCAAGTTTAACAGGCAACTCCCCCATAATAAATTCAGACACACTCAGACATCTCACACTTGCACACAAAGGATATTGAATGTATGCAAATCCTCTTGGTCGGCGTGTATAGAAGTCAACCGGAATGTAGACATCTACTATTGGCCCATAACGGCCGAACTCACGGCGCAAATCCTCAGGCCTACAGCACCGTGAAACGATAGGACATTTATTCCACCGGTGCCCAGGGGGGGCGCTCCACACACAGCATCTCCCAGGGACACTCAAATAGCAGGCGTTAATTAAAAAGGTGACCGAACACAATGCTTCACTTCATAGTCATTCATGAAATGCGGTTAATATGGGGAGTGGGGGGGAAAGAAACAATCCGTGTTCAGCAGCAAAACAGGGAAGGTTAAATAGACATGAAAACCTATCCGTAAAATTACACCCAAGATTAGTCAGATGCATTTTCAGACATTTTATTACACATACATTAAAAATGGCATTAAATCCATTGCGCGTCATTATGTCTAATTTGCATCCACAGCTAAATCAGGGCTCTGCTGCACGGATTATTCTTCAAGGAGAAAAAAAGATACTTAATCCGTATATAATTTACAGGTCAATATCACTCTGGGAGCCAGCATTTAAGCCGTCGGCACTCAAACTGAATGCCGTAGATCATGGGTTCCCAAACTTTTTGTTGTTGGGGGGGGCCGCTTACAATTAAGTTTTCCCACGTTTTTAAAATGGAAATCATCGCGCGACCCCACCCCCCTCCCAAAGTGAGCAGTCCTGCCTTAAATGACGGCGGGCTTCAATCTTTACCCTTTTTTGTGCAATGGAAAGTGTGGTACCAAATGAGCAGGACCACGGCCCCCCACCCACATCGCGCGCCCGGCCTCGCGCCGCGGGGTGCTGATCCTGCGTCTAATTTTAGCGAAACGCCCCCTGCCCTCCACCACGGCCCAAATAGAGGCAGCCGAAGGGAAGGACGGTCCCACACGGCCGAACTGTTTCTAAATTTACCGGATAAACGGGATCATGACGCTCGTTTGGTTTCACAGCACGAAAAAAGCGTGTCGGTTCATAAACACGAAATTAGCCTAAAGCGAGGCTTCCTGGATACCATTCGCCATCTGGTAAATTACATAATATTGATATTAAACCTATCTAGTTTCCAGAAGTGACTTCGCTTACCAGCTACCTCCAGTAACGCATTTTTCTAGATCATGCCGTGTTGGGGGCGTGCGCGCCATATAATTATAAACTACACGGCAGATATTTCGGAGCTGGTCAAGCTGCATTAAACCGACTGAGCCGGACAGGGGAGTTACAATGCATTCATCATAGCGCAACAATATAACGACATAACCATGTAACGGGAGGAGCGATCGCGTCTTCCCAGCGGTTGCTCCCATCTCCCAGTCTTCGAGGCCCCAGCATAGAGGCGATCGCGCCATGTCTGCCTCCCAAAAACCTACGGCCGCTGCCACCGTGAGCCGGAACGCGGATTAGGGCACACGGACGCCGCTTCTGTTTACCTGGAGTCGTCCGAGATGTTCCTGATGAACAGGGAAGTGTTCGGGGGCCGCAGGTACCTGGCCATTGTGCTAAATGATCACCGCAAAACCACGGCTACGTGACTTCGCTAGACCGCAGCTGAAAGCCGACCGATCGCCCCGGCGAACGAAGACACTACTGCGCAGACTCAGAGAGGCCACGCCTCTGACGCGCCACTGAGTTCAATGGCCGCGACAAGTATTTCAGTAATGCAGTAATACAGTGACACACACAGGGGCACGCTAAATTGTTTATATTTTCATTTGTTTTGACCGGATATTGTCAACAGCGGGTCATGATGTAGTTCTGTCTCAGTACATGTACAAACTAGCTTCCGCTTAGATTTGTTACCAGTTCATTAATAAAACAAACATAAATGAATGAATGAATCAACGAAAAAATAATCAGTCTTCTGTAATAGTAAATAGACACCATACACGTCTTCCACTTCATTTCTGTCCAATGACAAAGTTTATTTAAATAGCCAATGACATTCCCCGAGCGAGCGGATGTCCCGCCCAGCAGCGCTGCGGACCGCATCAGACCTTCCTGCTTCTCCGGATCATAGTAGCAGACTCTTTGGTGATGGTCTGTAACAGAAAAACGGGGGTTGTGAAATTAAAATACAGGGATTTAAATAGATCTCTGTGAAGCGGTTCATTGTCTTGTGTGTCTAAATATATTATGGAGCCTTCACACATATTATTGACAATTTTGGGATAAGACCTGGTGAAAACAAAGCTTTTTGTCCTACACGAAAAGAACCAAGTAGTCTTGTGATGTGTTGTAAAGGGTTGCGGTGGTGTTACACTCTTGCTTGTCACTACTAACCTCCACCATCTCATCCCCCTTGATTTCCTGGATGTGGGAGAATTTGTCCGTCTCACATATGAGTTTGCCACCCTCCAGTCTGACTGTGCACTGCGAAGAGATAGTGAAACACTGACCAATGTCGGGATTACACTGAAATCTACAATGTGTTGGTGAATTGTACACTATGTCCTGATCGCAAATGCTGCAGAAATCTTGAATTCCATGAACATCTGCAGTCAGGGGTAACTAATTATCCGAGCACTTTATTGTCATTGTGTAACACAATGAAATTACGTTTATGACAACCTCAAAGGTGCATTAATAAATATAAAATGAATCCAAGGTAGAAGCTAGAAATAATATAATCGTACAAAGAGACAAAACACACAGGGAAAAAGGTAGGGTGCATCCTGTGGGGGGGATGGAATTCTGTGCACTCGATCACGTTCGAAGGGCAATTTAGAGAAACATGAACCACCCTGGACAAACAGTACCAGTCAAAAGTTTAGACACGCCAAGCTGCCTACATAGGAGAGTGATAGATTGTCGCATCACATGACCTGGCCACCTGGCCTAAACACAGTAAAAATAGTTTTGCAGGCGTTTGACCAGATAATGAAAGAAAAGTGGCAAATGAGTATGCAGCATATATGTGGGAGCTCCTTCAGGACAGCTGGAAGAGCATCCCAGGAGGCCACCTCATGAAACTGGCGTAGAGGAAGAAAGTATGATCAGCCAGTCCCAGGAGCAATTGGGGTTAAGGGCCTCACTCCTGGGCCCGAAGGTGGGACCACTCTGCTGACTTCAGGATTTGAACTGACAACCTTCTGAGTCCCAAATCACAGAGCTGCCCCCCCAAACAAATTACTTTTTTTTTGGTTAATACTTTTTTGGTCAGTCCATAATCAATATATGGCATTTTGTCTTTTTGGTTTCTTTATAATTATTCTAAAATGTAGAGAATAGTACAAATAAACCTTTCTATGGGTGGGTATGTGACTGCTACTGTAAATGCCCGAGATTTTGTTTCATTTGTCAATCACTGCATAGTTTATCCATTAGTAACCACAAAACCGCAAAAACAAAAGTCAAGCCCCAGGTAAACTTGACTTGGCCCCAGATCTTTTCAATAGCCAGGAACCCCCCTGAAACCAACCAATGGGGAATGAGTTAAATGACACAGTGGCTGACAGCACACAGTAACTCTATCCACAGTGGCTTACAAAGTCTCCGTTCTTCCATCACTTCCTGGTTTCTGAAATGAAGAGCGTGCTGCACATGTTAATGAGGCTCACTTTAGTTTTTATGCAAAATTGTAATTAATGAATCGTTTAGGCGAAATGGCAGTAATTTAGTTCTCACTTAATTGAGCACTGCCAGTTTTACGAAGTATAATTAGCAATGTCACTGAATGCCTATATGGAATATCAAACACTCAAGTAACAGGTCTGCATGGTTTAACCAGCTGATTCCCTGAGATGTTTATTAGAAGAAGAACCTTGAGCTTTTTGCCATCCAGGGTGGTTATCTCAGTCTCCTTGCCGATGGTGAAGGAGTTGGTGACTGACTGGCGAGGGGTCTTGGACGTGACCACGAAGTCATTGCCGTTCTGCTGGATCTCTGTCACGGGCTTGACGTCTTTGGCCATCTTGATCACGTCCTCAGGTAGCGCTGAAGCAAACGTGGTAGTGTTAGAAGTCTGAGGTTCGAGCAGCTTGAGAGAATGGAGGTAGTCAGGTGACTGTATTTGTCTGTGTTTATTCAGCCCTAATGTCAGCTTGCAAATTGATGCTGTCTTCCTACTCAGCCTATAAATCTGGCCAGACCTCAGTGCCTGTCCTACCCCCTGCTATTATCCCGGGATGCCCACCCTTTACTTTAGTTTTTATTTCCCCCTCCTCCCTGAAACAGCCATTATTTTTATGTCTCCCCTGCGTCCTCTAGATCCTGAAAAAGAGGCACGTTTTTCTGTGTTTTGTTCCCATGTCACAGGTTCCTGTGCCTCATCCCCACCAGAGTGAATCTCACGGTGACTTCTCATTACACTGAGAAGTATCTCGAATATTTCCCATGCTTCTTGTCACCTTCAAGGCCACCGCCAGGCTCATGAGTGAACAGGAGCAAGTTGGTTGTACTGGTGACAAGCTATTGGGAAGACTAACTCACACTCAGAATACTGTTAGACTCTCCTGCACTTATAATGAGATCATTCAGTGAATCCTCACCAGAGAAAAAGCACTTTGAAATTCCATTTCTACGAGGTATGGAATTCTTTGGGTTTTGCCGACCCCATCCCCCATCTTTTTCTCCCTGAGAGACACACCACTCCTTAGGTCATATAACCACACCCAGAACAAAAATAAAAAAGATTAATAAATAGATAATAGATGAGTTGCACTTGTACATTCAAGTGTTTACACACTTTAAATCACTCCATAAATACACACATATTGAAGAGAAGGGTATATGATGTCTCAGACACATCTGCGAGTGCTCTTTGGTGCTCTGTTGTTATTTATAAACTTCTGGCCTGTCCTTGGACATTAAAAAGCATTTCCTTTTTGGCATCTCAGATCTTCAGAAGGAGCTTTTTACTAAAAGCATCTTGACAGCAAATAGTAAGAACCAATTTGTTGCTCGAAATAAAAGGTATCATTAAACTGACACCCCCATTAAGGTTAAAAAGCTTTATTGCTGCTGTATCGCAGAAGCTGGGGTGTAAAATATTTACCTGTGCAGCCAAGCAGTGGTGATGGATCTCATACACTACTGCACGCATGCTTGCTGTGAAATCTCTGAAGGCTTTATTTCTCCTTCCATATGGGCTTCCTGCCGGGTTCGTTCTTGGCAGTGGCAGGAATGAGGCTTTTAAACCCGTCATGCATAGTAAAGTCAAGATTATGAGTAAAGTTACAATACTCTCACAATGCTCTCACAATACTCGCACAATACTCTCATAATGCTCTCACAATACTCTCGCAATGCTCGCAGAATTTTCTCACTAGTTTCATTTCTCCTATTGATTTGGAGAAGGAACATTTTGGAAGTTTGAGAAGAGCTGATACTGTTCTTAAATTACCGTTGGTGTTTGTTGTCTGTTATCAAATAGTTATAGCTGTATTCCGCATTTCTGACTGGAAAGGTACACCAAAAAAATAAACCCTCCAAACGTAACTGCTCATGTTACCTTTTTATTAGAATTGCTATTTGATGGAACCAGTTCCTTAAACCCAGTGTGCGCTGCACTCCTGCCTCCTTCCCATTGACCCAATTACTTTATACCCAGTATAACCCTAAAGGTCACCATAAACTTCAAATGATTTTCAGGCAGACATTGGCGACAGCAGTCTGTCACAGGCTGAAAACCACTCTGCCACCTTGTTCTTTATTTTTCACTCCAGAACTCTAGGGGGCACAGAATGTTTTTAATGCAGCAGACTCACGTGCAGAGCACAAATAAACATACTGTGGCAAGTGCATATCATTTTAATAAAAGAGATGACAGCTCATTTAAAATGGAAGTCGCTCTCTTTATTAACAGTCACTATTGGCTTAATAGTATAAACAGGACAAAAAGGGAAACTAAAAATTTAAACGGCACTCATGGTTACACACTCACAAAAAGCGCACATTCCACAGCAAACATTACGCGGTTACGACATTTACTATTAATTAACAGAAACGCAAGAATGTACATATTCATTTACACTATTTATAGTGTGGTACAGTGCAAAGCGACTGCACAATTAGTCCTGCTGACCAACCCTGCAGTATCACATTTATGTCAGCCAATTGTGGACAGCGGGTGGGATCAGAATGAACTAAAAAGTTCACCTTGGGGATGCTGCACAAACGGTGCACCGAAATGATGATTACAGAGCACACAATGTCAAATCCCTAAAATGGCGTAGATTCTGGGAAAATTTGTCTTAAGTATATGGTCACCTTTGGATGACAATGCAGGTCCACATCTTGTAGCGTTATTAATCACGACACGACTTAAAGGTACTCACAGATGGCCCTGAGAAACTCCTCGTAGTTCTCCTGGACGTACACCTCCCACGTTCCTGTGAAGGCCATGGTCGCTAGACTGCAGAGATGTCTGACACGAAGCGGGGGTGACGCGGAAGCTCAACGCAGACGTGTGGCGGGCCCTCAGTCCCTCTCGAGTTTTTATAACAGCAATTGTCCAAAGCTCAGCCCCCACCCCCATCCCTGGGCGGATCCCAAGGTCTCAGAGCTGTTTGAACAACCTGGAGATCGCTTGCATCAGCGCTGCTAGGGTGAGCCGTCTGTCCACGGTGATCTGCGCGATGCTGCCTGATCGTGGCTAAGCAGAGGCTCACAATAAAGTGCAGAACAAGTTCCTGCTGTCGTTGGTGTTTCCATAGAACAGTGTTTCACAATCCAGTACTCGGGGACCCACAGCCGGTCCACGTTTTTGCTCCCTCCAAGCTCCCTGGCAGACAGTCCACATACTGGAAGCTGGGTGGGAGCAAAAACATAGACTGTATGTGGGTCTCCGAGGACCGGATTGGGAAACACTGCCAGAGAATAATCATCCTCCACCACTGTCACCACCTGTTCATGTCAATTCCCAGACATCCTTTCTGAGCTGGTCACTACAGTCTCAGCCATAGTATCAGTACCGGAGGGATGAGATAATGAGGGTGGTAAACTTGTGCTCCTAATTAGACCCATTGGTGGCTTTCGTGGTTTTCTGCTCTCTAGGGTAAACTGTTGCTCCCTCACCAAGGTTAGACTGTTACTGCGGGCACCAGCTGGGCAGATTCTTTTCAGTCTGTTTTGTTTATCCGTGTAAAATTGCTACTCTATGTAGCAGATTTTGATGTTAAATGTCTTACTTGATGTGAAAATGTTCCCTCCTCCATTTCCCTGGTAGAGAAACCGACATGGACTCAAAGGTGAATCAGTCTCCGCTTGCCCCGGGTGAACGACTTGGTGGACGTGACTCTGTTTGCTCTGCAGACGTACAGAATGAACTGCCCCGAGTTTGCATAACAGAAATATAATGTTGAGCCAAATTCTCATGGAGGAGTAACAGAGTCAGACGTGTCAGTTTGAAAGAAGCTGTAAGTTTATTTGCAGCACAAGCACGATTTTCTGTGTCTTCACTCAAACAGCACAGAGGATTTATGGGTACAGAACTACAATGAAATCAAGTGCCAGTCATAAATATTGGGCTTATTAATGCTCACTTGTCTTCTTCATGGTGCCTATTTGATCTGAAAAATGCACAGCAGAGATGAGAAGCCAAACGTGGGAAAACGCAGAGACGCTCATGGCTTCGTATTCAGAAACTTGGCTAAACGTGCCTCTGCTACACGAGGACTGAGAGTGTTGTAAACATAAACAACAGAGACTTGTCTCCCATTCTGTATGTGCTCAGTAACATTCAATTCATGTTAGTCAATAATGATGTCATCATAAACAAACTTCTATGGAAAGCAGGAAGGGTGTCAGGCTGGGGTGTGACAGATGTCCTGACGAGGTGGGAAGGTCCTCATGGTCTTTGGCCTAGAGTGCGCCATTCCTCAGGTGAAACATTGTGTGATTTCTTAAGCAGCTACTCTGGCTGTAAATGGTGTTAGGTACTCTCTATATAAACTATGCATCCATCCATCCATTTTCTGCAATTGGTTGTCCTATTCAGGTTTGCAGGGGGTCTGGAGCCTATCCTGCAGGTTATGGGTGTGAAGCAGAAAACAACCTAGGATGGGGTACCAACCCATCACAGGGTGCACTCTCACATACCATTCACACCAATGGGCAATTAAGCAACTCCAATGAACCTCAGTATGTTTTTTTTGCTGGGGGGGCTGGAGTGCTGGAGGAAACCCCCATGATGACGTAGGGAGAACCTGCAAGCTCCAGACACATGGAACCAAGCTGGAGACTTGAACGCAGGTCCCAGTGGTTTGAGGCAACAGTGCTAACCACCATGTCACCCCCCCCCCACCATATAAACTGCTTTGATCAATGATAGTATAAAATCTTCCCTCATGAATCTACATCAGGAACATTGATATGAATTTTCCTAGTGGGGTTACACAGTGACAGGCTGCTTTCTTAACTAAATCATACAAAACCACATTGCCATTTCTCTAAACTGTCAGCTTGATGCACACCATGCAAACACTCTTTCTGTCTCTACATCTCCACGGCGCCGGCCCGCGGCTTCTCCCCACGCTTATACACGCTGACTGTCACGTTCACCGTCTGCGAGCCGTGCTTGTTGCGGGCGAAGATGCTGTAGAGGCCTGAGTCCTCCATGTTGACCTTGTTGATGGTGAGGGTGGTGCACTGGTGGTCACTGGAGATGTTGTACTGTCCGGCCGAGAAGAGCTCCCGGTCGTTCTTCAGCCAGAACATCTCAGGGGCTGGGTCACCCTCCACAAAGCAGGTTAAGCACAAAGTCTGCAGGCAGGGTAGGGGAGGGGAGTGGGGGGCAGCATGGACTCATATCGGTCAATGGAGCTAAAGCAAACTTCCTGTCACCTGACTGATCTCACCACTACCACTCGGTCGTAGAGCGTGAAGTACCTGCAAAGGCATTCTCAAAATGAACTGTAAATATAATATTTTTAATTCCCACAATAATTACCATTAAAACCATAGTGGTAACTTTTCTTATGAATACCATATCTATAGGGATCTATGAACACATTCATAACACATTATAATGCATTAATAAAGCATTATATACATGACTCAAATATTTCTGAATAGGCATAACACATTATAGCCATGTTTATTATATATTATGAATGCTTTATGAATCTCTCATGTATAATGCACTGTGAATACCTTCATAATGCAGCACAATGCATTCTTAATTCTTATACTGACCATTATAATGCCATATGAAGGTATTTATAGTGCATTACAAATGAGAGCTTCACTGGAGCTTATGAAGTATTATAATCAGCACTATAATGCCTTATGACTGTCCATAGAAGATGCTGTAATTCTTTATTAATTCTATTATGTAGATATCTATAATGATTACGAAGATATCTACAATGCATTATAGATGACAGCTTCAAGTAAAGTGTAACTGCCGTAGTTTCCTGCATTTATCAAAAAGGTGACATTAAACACATGCACACAAACGTAATTTTCCTCTTATACGGTGTGGAAAACTTGGGGAGGATTTTAAATCCATGTGTTGTCCCTTTATTTGATAATTATTTTCCCAATTAATTAATAATTAAAAGCTTATGTTTTTGTATGTATGTAGCACGCTGCAGCTAGGTTCCTCGTAGCAAAAGAGAGAGAGAGAGCGAGAGAGAGAGAGAGAGAGAGCGAGAGAGAGAGAGAGCGAGAGAGAGAGAGAGAGAGAGCGAGAGAGAGAGACCTTATGTTCCATGATGG